GGTGAAGGCATCGCAAAGATAATATAGCACATGCTTTAGAATGCTTGAGAAAAACATTGTTGTCTAGTGCAAGACATATAATTATGGGGTATATTATTATCATGTAACAGTTGGGTCAAGTTAAGAATTTGTGCTCAAAAATTCAATTCAATAAGCATTTATTGGTTACCTACTATATATAAGACACTCCTTGGAGTTGGGGATACAAAACCAGAAACAGAACAGTCCCTGTCCTCGAAGAGTTTGTATTTAATTGGCTTGTTCAGTGAGGGAAAGGACAACATGTATATGGATAAGGAAATAAGAAATATAAAGTATTGAGGGAGATATCTACTAACCAGGGGGATCAGGAAAGCACGTAGGACAGTTAACCTGAGCAGAGCCTTGAAGGATTCCATTCCTAAGGATTCCTGGAAGTCAAAGTGACGTGGAAGGACCAGTCTAGGTCTAGGGCAAGTTGTGCAAAAGGCAGGGAAATAAAAGAAATGTCCTATTCATCAGATCAGTTTGGTTGGAATGTTGTTTATGAGGAAAAAATGTGAAATCAATCTGGAAAGGTAGTTTGGAGTCATTTCAGAGGCGTTTAAAGCCAAATTCTTGGCAGAAGACTTGGTATTTTATCCTAGAGAGATGATAGGAAAGCACTAGGGAGCTACTGAGGTTTCTTTAACAGGAATGCAACATGGTCAGAATGTGACAAAAGGCAAGAGTGTAAAGAGGTGGTTAATACTTGAGTTTATCTTTTTGTAACAATTCACTCTTTTTTTAGTCTCTTCATACCTATCACACTGAAAACAATATAATTGCTTTTGTTTTACAGTCACTTGTATTACCTTTTCTCTATTTAGTACCTAAAGTTACTCATGATTTCATCTGAATTAATTTTTCTTAAAAACTCACAGTTCATATAGTTATAGTGCAGCCTCCCTAACCATTTGTCAATTGTGTATAAAATAACTAAGCATTCCTTGCATGGAATGCTTTAACCACATCATCAATTTCTTACATCATCTGCTGCTTTCAGTCATTATATAGATTGCCTAACAGCCTTAACAGACCAAATGCTTGATTTCAGCCCTTGCCTGCAGTATATATTTATAAAAACATGAGCAAGGCAGCATGACTGGTCAGAATAATAAACTGAAAATTCAGACTCAGAAACTAATCCCTTGTCAGTCATTGCTTTAGTGAGTGTGAGATTGTTGTCTGATGTTCTATGACTTTGAGCAAGTAGTTTCCGTCTCAGGACCTGAGTTTCGCCTCCTTTGTACTTGTAATGAAATAATCGTTGAGCCCCTTGTTTAAAGTGGTTAGCTGAGTTTGTTAAAATGTCATGCTAATGAGGCTGAGGGCATGGGATCGATCAGCACCTAGGACAATTAGTTGAACTCTGTTCAGTGTACATGGGCTGGAACTCAAGCTCTAAAAAATGCATGTCCTTGGTCACAAGGGGGATTAAGCCTGAGAAAGTGGCATAGATCAGTGAAAATCCATTGCTACTGCTTAATGATGGGTCACTCTGCAATGGGGTGGGTCAGGCCCCACTAGTAGAATGGGGACAGAGAGATAGAGGTCTGAGCCTCTCAATACAAGTTTTCAGGAAGAAAAGAAGATAGACTCATAACTTAACTTAACAATACCTTCAATAAAGCCCTTACTAAGGACATGTTAATTAACACTTAAATTCCTAAAAACCCCATTTTAAAATAATATTTTCCTCCCTGTGAAATAAGGGTTGTATGTCTTCATATAAAATAGCCCAGAGCCACTGTGGTAACTGGACTAAAGAATAAGGAGTATAGGCTTCTACTTCCAGTTCTGCCTTTAATTAGCTGTGTGACCTTGGACAAGTCAGATCAATCCTTCCTAGAGAGAGTTTTCTCATCTGTAACATGAGGGGGGTAACATCAGATTATCCCAAGGTCTTGCCCCATTCTAAAGTTGTATGAATTTGTGATTATGAAGGACAGGAGTTCCCTGTATACCATCTGTTGAATGTCAGATTCAACAGTGAAACATTTTAGCTCTGAAAAATTTGCCTTTAATCTTCAGCAACACCTTAGACTCCTAGTATCTAAGGAAAACTAAGCTGATTGCATTAAATGGCTTTGCTTATATAGTTTATGAGCAAATGTTTTGGTTTGCTTTAGATAACACTGTGCCACACTTGCTAAGATACAGTTTTGTAAATAAGTTATTTTAAATATATATTATATATATATATACACATATCTTTGTGTGGGAAAAATGATGGAAGCAAAAGAAAAATGTCTGAGGAAAGCAGTTAACTGAGAATAATAATAATAATAATAAGTAACAGGTCCTAGGATAAGACCTTGGGATATATTAAAGCCTTGCCTTTGAATGAAGCCCTGAATGATACTTTTGTTTAACCATGAACAGACAATCAGGAATCTGCTGTGCTACTATTTTGATTTCAGGATGGGTTAGTTGAGACTAGGCCTTCAGAGACAGATTGATCAGGTGTAAGGAGATTCCTTTTACAACCCTGGTACTTTGGTCAGTTTAAAAAAGACAGCTGTTGTTAGAGGATAGAAGCATTCATTTACTATTGACTCAATAAGCATGTGTTAAGCACCTTTGTGTAGCAGCCTCTTTGGGAAGATAAAGAGGAAAATGAAATAATTTCTGCCCTCAAGAAGCATACATTCAATTAAGGGAAAAGAACAAGATAGATAAGTAAATACCAAATATAGACAAAGTACTCAGGTTGGAAGTTACTAGCAACTGAAGTAATGGAGTAGGAGCATATTGGGGGGAGGGGAGGGAGTCTGGGACAGTGGCAAAATGGGCATAAATCTCCAGGCATGGAGTTGTGGAGTCAAAGGGTTTAGGTTCAGTCAAATTTCAACTATGACCTTGGGTAAGTCAGAAACTTAACATAAATGTAAAGGTAACCTCTTCGGACCTCAGGTTCATCATCTGTGAAATGAGTTGGTTTTCCAGTTCTATATCCCATATTTCCCCACCCTCTCCATTCAGCCTTCCTTTTTTTCTTCAGCTAAATAGTTCAGCCAAAGGATGGCCAGTGAAAATGTCAAAGACACTCCCAACATAAATAAAAGGGGTTTTAGAGATCAGCTAGTGTCATCCTTTCACTTCATAGTGACTTGCCTAAGGTCACACAGGTTGTCAATGACACAGCCAGAAATCAAACCCACCTCTCTAATTCAAGTATGATAGCACAATTATCTCAAATAGACAAGGGGGTTGTTGTCTCCACGGTAGGATTTGAGGAGGGCCAGGAAGAGCTTCCTCCTCAAAAGCAGCTGTCAGCCTTAACATTTGTCTTTAGATAGTCTTTCTTTGAGGCTTAGAATGTTTTCCTTTTTTGAATTCCTGATTAAAACAAAGATAAAGCTAGAAGATTGGCATTTTGACCTTTTTAAGTTTAGCAAGTGTTACCTTAGGGTTGCCTACTAGCTGTGAAAAAGGTGGTCTAGACACAGGGCTTCTTAAACTTTTTCTACTCTCGACTCCTCCTCTCTCCCTACGCTTCTTAAACTGTGGGTCACAGGGACCCACAGGGAGCAGAGGAGAGGGAAGGAAGGGAATAAGCATTTATAGAACACCTATTAATGTGCCAGGCACTGTGCTGAGCTTTTAACAGAGGATCATTTGAGCCTCACAAAAACAGTTGAGGAAACTGAGGCAAATAGAGGTTAAGTGATTTGCCCAGGGTCACTCAGCTAGTGTCTGAGGCTGGATTTGAACTGAGGTCTTCCTGACTCCAGTCCTAGCACTCTATCCACTGTGTTATTAGTGCCTGGATGGGCAGCTAATTGTACTATTTTTTAAATGAATTGAAAAAAGCTGTAGGTTCCACATTTTCGTTTTTTAATAGTTGTATGAACTTAGACAGTTGCCCCTTCCAACCTCATTTTCCCCATAGAAGCCTTAGATGTGAATTTCAACTCAGTTTCAACCCATGAGATCTTCGGGCAAGTCACTTAACATCCCCAAACCTCAGCTTTCTGTTCTATAAAATGTGAGACCTCTACATTGAATGAACATTAGAGTGCTTATAGTGCCTGCTCATGGAGTTTTTGTGAGGATTGAAAGAGTAAAGGGGAGCCCTGATATGTTGTTTTAAATGTAATTTCACAGTTTTGCATGCTTCATGGTGTTCTGAAAAGCCCTAGGGCTATAATCCATCTCCTGTGGCGTTGCACATGTTAACGACAGGCAACTCTTAGTCACACACAAATCATCTGTTATAAAATATTAGACAAAAGACTCTAAAATCTAGAGATCATCTCACTCACCACCTTCATAGAAAATATTGCTTTGGAACGGTGAAGTGGCTGACCTGGGACCACACAAAAGTGGACAAAATAAATCAATAGGGCTTTGTTTTTTGTCATACTCATAAAATCATGAGAACGTTATATAGTATCATCAGTGTTTGTTTAAAGAGTAGCTTCAGATTTTATCTACCACCCAGAGTTTTTATAGGAATCAGTTTGGTATTTTTGAAAATAGTTTTTATTAAACAACTGTACTATTCAATTCACCTAAAATGTAGTTGCTGATGATTTTCTGTTGCGTCTCATCTCACCTGGGGAATATTCCTCCTCAGTTATTCAATAGTAGTCAGCCAGTGTACTTTCCTGGTATTACTTTTCCACTGTGGAGATTTCCTGCTAGAAGCCTTATCTGTGCTTATCACTAATAGCATGTAGGTTTTCTGGGAAGAAATCCAAGTGTGAATCCAAGAAATGGATCTTGAGTGACATGTTGCATCCCATAACTTTATAGGATTTGAGAAGATTCGTTGATAATTTCTTGGTAATTTTCTGCCTTGTAGTTTCCCCAAAAAATTTTGGTTTCCTTTTTTTAAATGATTTCTATATAGCTCCTTCAACTTTATTCAACTGTTCTTCAAAATGTTTGTCTTTCATCACTTCCCTTACTTGAGGACCCACAAATACCCCAACTTTGTTTTTAGCCTCACTGATTCTTGGAAATTTATTTTTCAGATAAAGAAAACCTGCACCATTTCGATCCATCGCCTTGACAAAATTTTTCATTAAACCAAGTTTAATGTGCAACGGTGGTAAGAAAATTTGTTCAGGACTACTAGTGGTTGACTTACCACATTTTTTGTTTGGGGATTTGGTTCTTTCTTTTGAGGCTAGTGCTTTTTTAATGTAGTGGTTATTTCTGTCACTGCTCTTCCATGCACGAATAATGCAGCAGTATTTTATACACTAGTTATGATATTAGTAAAGAACAATCACTTTTAGATCCCCATAGATATATCAAGAATATTTTCCTGTTTTGTCCTTCTTGACAGAAATGTCATGCTTGGAACATATTTTGGTGCCCTCTTACAGAATATTCCATCCTTTTTCTATAGAAGCTAAAGGTTTAGCTTGATGTTTTTTGGGTAAGATCATGAGTAAGGTCACTAGGACTGCTTGAGTTATTAAATGAGGATCTGAGGATGGAAAAGTGACTTCCAATGGGGGCATCACCATGTTGCTGGTCTCCTACCTTGTCATGCTGAGCCTCATCATTACAATCTGAATCATCAGTTTCATCTTCATACAAGTTCCAAGTTTTTCATTGTTTCGATACAGGTAGTTCTTTACTGTGTAAAACAGAGATCTTATAGCTTATGGTAGATTTGGATTTTTATAGTATGTTTAGATTTGGAGGAAATTCCTGATATATTTGTTAAGCAAATATAGCAATCTGTTGAATGGTCTTTCTGTTCTCTCCAAATCATAGGAACTGCAAATGTTATGTGACAAGAACCATGTATCCAGCCAGTTAGTAATTTAACACAAGAGATACAGGACAAGTGAGGGGTCCAGGCCTTATCCTGAGCACCTATTTTATAATACAAATAAAGTTCATATGTTTTCTTAACTAGACGAATAAAGTTTAATCTCTGGAGTTAAAAGTTAGCTACATAACAATTCAGGTGATCAATATGTTTGTGAGGCATACATTTGTGAGAATTTAAGGACGTATATCAGCATCTTTAAACTACAAAACATCTTAGAAAATGGGATTAGAGAAAAATAACAATGTTTACCAAATGACACCTGGCACACAACTGACTGAACAATCTGCTCCATATTGAGAATTTCACTGCATGATTGGATGTGCATGAGCCTGTCTTGCCACACAGCACATAAGCTGGGCCTTCCTACAGCATGAAAGAACAAGCCAACTTGTGACTTCTCTCCTCCTCCACCTCCTCAGCCCCCTTCAAAAAGCCACACTGTTTTACTACTGCCTCCTATTGCATGGTTTATATTAAGATTCATATGTCATTTAATAGTGGGTGATAAAGAAATTTCAGATGCAATTTAAAATTTTAGCATGAAGAGAACTTTAAATCCCCAGTAAAATTCCATGTAGCAATTGTGTGTTGAGCAGTAAAATTAATTATTGGCAGAATGGGAACTTAGAACTAAGGTCTATGTGCTCTTGCTTTGTTGCTTCTTCTTCTATACCTACTGGGAACACATTTTCCCAAGCCCCAAATCAGAATTTGTGGTCTGACAAAGGAAATTACTTGGTAAGCCCTAGTTAAAAGTGCTTATTCTTTCCTTCAAATTGGGACTGTCCCAGGAAATCTGGGACATATGGCATGGTAACTGAATTGCACTGCCTCTTTCCCAGACAGCTTCCTTTGCTCCCCAGCATACACCCAGTTGTTTCCCTGGCCTCTTACCAGTCAGTGTGTGCTCAAGGAATGAAAATGAATTTTAACATTAGCCTAAGCAAAACATAGTCAGAAAAGTAGATCTGCAATTTTAAAAAAAACTAATTTGTTCCAAAATCATTCATACTTCTGGTGACCACATATCCTAGATTTTTAAAGATCATCCTGAACTCGAGAAAGGAAAAGTGTTTTTAAAAAAGGAATATACTTTGTTGGGTCATGTATCCTGATTGTGGTTCAGGAAGAAATGATTGTTATGTCTGTTACATATGTTTTTTAAAATTATCTATGACTAGGCTTTCTTTCATTATTGCCAAATTGACTCATATTAAAGTTATCTGTAGTGATTATATACTTTGGATTTTCTAGAATAGTCCCAATTTAAAAAAAAAAAGAAGCATTCTTTTGTAAAAGAATGTCCTTTGTCAGACTGTGTGTCCCTGTTTGGTGGTAGTGGTGGTGGTTGTTGTTTCCTTCTTGTTGTTGTTCTTGTTGTTGTTTGGGAAAATAAAGTCATTGTAGAAATAACCCTAAAGCAGACTTCTCTAAAGCAATTGAATAGGAAAGTGAGAGATAATATTAGCCTAGGAGAGGCAGGCCTTTCTATCTTCCCCAAACCTGGGAAATCGCAATCAAATGCTTATGAAACACAAAATAATATATTTGATTTTATAAATCTACTGTCCAAGAACAAAATGCGTCACATCTGTGATCTTGTGGTCATGTGATATAAGAATAGAGAGGTGGAGAGGCATCAAAGATCATGTTGTTTTGCATTTTAAATGTACAGGCTTGATCAGGAGAAACTGGTCAACTTGATAAGGTTCAGTCTCATTGTACAATATTGATTTTGCCCCCACTTTCCCATGAAAAGATGGAGAAGGGGCACAGGATTTTGATGATGCCTCTTTGATAGGTTAGGAAGAGCCTCATTTGAAGATTCTTTCTTCATCAAGGATGATTTGATGGGCTTGGGCTCAGGCTCAGGCTCAGATCAGAGCTACCCTTTTGTACTGTTCTTACCCCCTATGAGGGGTAGACAGTCCTACCAGAACTAATCTAAAGCTAAGAATAGACTGAGGCTCCTGGATTAGGGTTTAATAGGCATCAGAGCCATCTTCCTTCAGATTGTTGCTAATGACAGTCATGGAGAAGCAGTGATTTCAAAGCCTCTTCACTAGGAGAGGATTGAGTCCATGCCCCAAGATGTGGAAGAGGCAAGTTGCAGTTAAACATGCCCTCAACTATGGAGCTGAAGACCTGAAAGATGTTAAGGGCTGGAGAGGCAGTGATAGAATAAAGAAAAAGCCTAAATCCACCTTCTAAGGAGAATAGGGAAGTGCCAGTATCCAGTTTGGAAAGATAATAAAAGAATCTCTTAGCCAGAGGCAGTAGTGGAGCAGAATAAAAAGCTGAGGCCTTTCTCCTGCGAAAAATAATCTGTGGCCCTGGAGCCTGAGGTGATTGATCCTTGGGGAGGAGCAAATGTGGACTTTTAAAGCATGGGTTTGGTGCCAATTGGGTTGTCTCTCTAGCAACTTCCTTGTTTTTTTTTTTCTTTTCCCATTCCCCTATGAGAAAACATATACCACTAGATTTGGGCTTATTTTATGCTTAATCTCTCTGTGGGTATGTTTGACCTATTTAGGAAACACAATCAGAGTCCTTCCAACTTAAGACATGTGCCGAACAATGGCCTTTTTCCTTTGGCCTCATCTAGTTTGTGGGGCTCTCCTGATAAGCCTTCTACATACAGTTTAGAAAAATGGTCACTTTATAGATGAGAAAACAAAGACGAGTGAAGCCCAAAGTGAGTTAGGGACAAAACCTGATGTAGTTAACTCTGACTTCCTGATTTCCAATGCAGTCATCTTTCCCATGCACCACACTAACTCCACCAGAGCTACCTAGAAGGGCTAGTAGGGTCTGGAGAATCATATCATCAGCCTTTATTTATTTATTCATTTATTCATCTATTTATTTGTTTGTTTGTTTATTTATTTATTTATTTTTAAATAATTTCCCTTGTGCTGCCTTAAGCAATGAAGAGCCAAGACCCAACCCTCTGGAATGGAGATTCGTTGAGGCTTGCTAAAGGGTCAGCATTACTTCAACCCAAACCCACAAAGTTAGACTCACCTTCTTGTCCTGCCACTTAAACTGTCTCTATCTTTCTATGTGTCTGGGTCCCTGTCTCTGTCTCTGTCTACTTGCATCTCTCTCTACTTTTCCCCTTCCCTCCCACTGAACTCTGCCCCACACACTTCCTCTGATTCCAGCCTTACTATAGGGAATCTGGGACAGTGAGAGTGGGTGAGTGAATGAAAAGAAACAAAAGAGGGAAAAAACAGAACAGAAAAGGTGGCTATTTGCTATAAATAAAAGGTTAACTTGAAAATGGCTTGAATCTGAGAGAATCAGTCTATGTGAGCATAGAAATCACAATCTCCTATCTGTGACCCTTGGTGGGGGAAATTTAGTAGGGGCCTAACAGATACAGCCTATCTTATGGAAACAAAACTGAAAACAAAACTAACAAACAGTCTGATTTCAAAGAAAAATAAAGGATATAAAGCTTACCAGAGGAGGAGGAGACTATTTGGGAAAAAGGAAAAAATGATAAAAAGAAACTTAAGGTGGTCAAAGCTCTAGTTCCTCTTTGACTCAATGGTTCGAAAGATATGGCTCACTCATATGTGGCCATCCATTATTTTTGCAGCATTCTTTATAATTATCAGTAAAATAAAAATATAGGATAACATCCATTTATATATTGCTTTAGGGTTTATAAAGCCCTTTGCAGTTCATTTGATTTTCAAAATAATGTTATGAAGTATGATACTATAAATATGACTTCCTACTCCTATTTTACAATTTAAGAAACTGAGGCTCAGAGAGGTTAACTGACTTGTACAAGGTCACACAGCAGGTATGTAGCAGAATTGGGACTTAGCCCTAGGTTTTTGGAGTCTTAAGTCCTGTATTTTTTAAGATTGCAAAGGGGTCCTGAGCCCTAAAAGTTTGAGAACTCCTTCAATACAAAATGCTGCTTTACTATGCTCTAATAAAACTTATTTTCAACAGGTAGATTTTGTGTCTTAATCATTTCCGAGAGAATAAACAAACTAAGTTTATGTAAAAAAAATAATAATACTATAAAAATGACACACGCACACCCCTCAGGGATTTTACCCCACCTATAACTGTGGGATAAGATCTATTCTAGATCCTATCTTTTTTTCTTTATTTTTTTCTTTGTATATATTTACATAAATTTTGTATATATATGTATAAACATATACATACATGTACTTTTTTCCTTTATTTCTTAAGGTTTACAAAACACTTTCCCTCCAAATCTCAGAAGTTGTTAGTGCAAAGATTCTAATCTCAATTTTTCGAATGAGCACATTGGAGCTGAGATTTTGAATGACTTGCATAGTACAGTCACAAAGCTGGTGAATGTGGAAGCTGGGACTCATACCCAGTGTTCTGACTCCAAGTCCAGCATACTTTTCCCCCTACACCATGCATTTGGGGCAAATAGGGCAAATATACAGAGTCTGAGTCATTTCTGTTTTTCCTCAAGTTCCTCTCCCCATCCCCCACAAAGAGCTGCCAGTGAGAAATTCTCTCAGTGGCATCTCTTTTGCAATTCACAGGCTTCATTGCCTCTCAAGTTTCCTGGAAGGTACTAAGAGTTCAAGTGACTTGTATAGGGCCATTTTTAGTCAGGAGTTGAAGCCATGTCTTTCAGACTCCAAGGCCAGCTCTCTGATCGACTATGCCAGGATACCTTTCTTGCTTTTCCTAAATACTTTCAAAGTAACACCTACCTGTACAAAAATATAAGAGAGGAGGCTACAAAATGTTTAAATTCCCTGAAGCATTTCCCCCCCTAAATATGAGCTCATAGACTCAGGGCTGGAAGGGACCTAAAATTATTCACAAGAAGTCATTGTGTCTGATCCCTCAGATGAGGAAACTTTGATCTAGAGAAATAAAGCAACTTACCAATGTTCCACAGCTAGTAGTAGATGGCAGAGCTGGGATTTGAACCAAGGTCCTCAGATATAAGCCCCAAGTTCTATACCCAGGCAGCCTTCCCTGTACGGATTCAGTTGCAAAACAGCTCCCACCAGACCCCAGTCAGGTGCATGATTATTTGATCATTTGGCTATAGTTGCCACAGCCATAGCCTTTAAATCCCAAAAATAGGAGACAAGGGTCCAGAATATAACTGCTGCCCATTTCAGAGGAATAGAAATATGTAGCTTTAAATCTTAGATCTTATGAATTCTAGCCTGTCTCTATGTAGCTCACAGCCAACTGTTGCGGCCATGAGAAGGCTTCCCCTCCTTTTTTCTCCTAGCCCTATCTTTTCACTTATATTCTTTAAGAAGGCCAAAGCCATTCCTGTTAATGGTGAATCTTTGTTTAAAAAGGAAGTCTTTGTAAGTGTCCATCCCTCCAGGGTGACCATTCATACATTAGAACATACTTCTGTAAGTCCTGTAAGTTAGGGGGACTACCTGTGGTTTCTGTAAAACTAACAATAGTGATCAAGTTGAGAAAACAACATCCGATCAGTAGTTATGGGACAATAACTAAAAGTTGCCAATGTACAAACCAGGCCTAAACCAGTGAAGGTTCACGTCTACCAGAAGAGTCTGGCCCAGCCAGTTGGTGAGGGAGTATATTTCATGGAAAAACAGCAACAAAAAAGGTGTTTTAGGGTGGTTTTTTTTGGTCACACATAATAATAAGTGAAACTTTTTTCTGATTGAAAATATGACTTCATATGTCTCTTCTCCCACAGTTTTTCATAGGAATCATTTTTTTAAATATTTCCTACCTAGAAAGTATACTTATTTCATTTACCTAAAATGTAATTATTGAAGATTTCTACTTATATTTCACCTATGGAATGTCCTGTTTCAACATCTAGTAATATTCAGCCAGTATGCCCTAGTTTTACTTTTCCATTATGGAGATTTCTTGACTGAAGCTTTCCCCTTGTTCATCCCTCTTAACCACCTAGGTTTTCTGGGAAGAAATCTAAATGTAAATCCAAGAATGGGCCTTGAGGGACATGTTATAGTCCATAACTTTATAGTTTTTAAGATCATTTATAGTTTCTTGCTAATTTTCTGTCTTATATTTTCCCCAAAAAAAGTTTTGGTTTGTTTTTTAAGATGATTTCCTTGCATCTCCTTCAACTTCATTCAGCTGTTCTTCAAAATAATTGCTTTCTGTCACTTCCCTTATTTGAGGACCCACAAATCTCCCACTTTGTTTTTAGTCTCACTGATTCTTGGAAATTTATTTTTCAGATAAAGAAAACCTGCACCATTTCGATCCATCGTCTTGACAAAATTTTTCATTAAAATCAAGTTTAATGTGCAACAGTGGTAAGAAAACTTTTTTCAGGACTAACCAGTGGTTAACTTACCACATTTTCCTTTCTGGGAATTGGTTCTTTCTTTTGAAGCCAGTATTTTTGCCTTTATTTTTTTTTAAATGTAGTGATTATCTCTGTCACTACTCTTCCATTCACAAAGCAGCAGTGTTGGATATATATCATCAGATTGTAATCCTAGTAAAATAGCACTCACTTTCAGCTCTCCACTGATATGCCAAGATTACTTTTTAAATTTAATGCTCCTTGAGAGAAATTTCATGTTTTGAACATATTTTGGTGCCCTCTTTCAGGAGATTCCATCCTTTTTCTTAAAAGCTAAAGGTTTAGTCTTTTTTTAAAAAATAGGTTAAGAACATGAGTAAGGTCACTTAGCTCTACTCGAGTTATTTAATGAGGATCTGAGGATCTGAAAAGATTATTTTAAAGTTGGGACTCACGATGTTGCTGGTCTCCTACCTTGTCATGCTGAGCCTCATCAGTATAATCTAAATCATCAATTTTATCTTCATCTAAGCTCCAAGTTTCTGGTGGTTTTGATACAGATGTAAAATAGAGATCTTATAGCTTGTGGTAGATTTGGATTTTTATAGTATGTTTAGATTTGGAGGAAATTCCTGATATATTTGTTAAGCAAATATAGCAATCTGTTGAATGGTCTTTCTGTTCTCTCCAAATCATAGGAACTACAAACGGCATGTGACAAGATCCATGTATCCAGCCAGTTAGTAATCTAACACAAGAGATACAGGACAAGTGAGGGGTCCAAGCCTTTGTCCTGAGCACCTATTTTATAACCCAAATAAAGTTCATATGCTTTCTTAACTAGACAAATAAAGTTTCATCTCTGGAGTTAAAAGTTAGCTTATTAAAATATACACATATGTATATGTGTACAGTACATATGTGTATATGAACATATATGCATATATAAAACAAAAATGATTCAGATGATTGATGGATTTGTGAGGCATACATTTGTGAGAACTTAAGGAATGTGTATCAATATCTTCAAACTATAAAACATCTTAGGAAATGGGATTAGAAAAAAAAGTTATGTTTACGAAGTGACACTTGGCATTGACTGAACAATCCGCTACACAT